GATTCAAATTATCTTAATTGGTTTTTGAGTTATGGCCGAAATGAACATTAATTTCTGAACAACCTGATAGTCTTTGCAGTATAATTTTTGCTTAATTTAATAATAGAATACATTATCATGATTTTTATTGCGAATAAATTGTCTAAATCTACGTGAATCTTCAGTAATAATACGTGGTCTATTTATATTTATAATATTCTTGGTTTGTGCTTGACTATTGTTTGATATAATTAAAAATTTATATTTCATAAACAATTTCGACAACATATTAGTCACAAATAATATCGATAGACCAAACCATAAACTTATAAGTGAACCGACAAACACCACGTACTCTTCAAATGCCATTTTCAATGATATCTCGTATACTGTTTCCGGTTCTGACGGCGTCCTAATGCCGAGAAAATAAATGTTTTTATCATGATTATTACTATCAACCTGATAGTCCATTGAGTAATAGGTTTGTTCGCATTCTTCCCTGTCACTACATTCCCGGGCGCAACCTTGGTCAATATCTTGGGTGTTGTTAACGTCTTTTAAATATGCCGTAGAATTAATGGCATAATCATCGCTATATATCAAATACTCATAAGCGGGATATACCCTGTGTTTCCGGTAATGCTCGCGTATTATGCACTCATTCTCGCAATCGCCTCGATCTTGTTTACGAAGCATTTATCATTGGCAAACAGTTTGCGATTATATAAAACAATTATCTTACGATACTTTACGTAGCATCTGTTACTATTGCTTACGTTAATATTGATGATACCGTTTTCGTAAAAGTCCCTGATTCTATCCAACCGGGAATGTAGCCGAAAGTATAAATTACCGCGATGTATTAGCGATTTATTCGTGAAGCGCAAGTACATAAATATTGACGTATGCCCGCGAGTAGTGTTCAGTACGTATCGACGATCGGATTCGGTTAACCACTGGGAAAATACGGTCCAACATATTGTATAGCCATCGAGCGATACCCTATACGGCGTGACGAGTGAGCAATTTGTAGGTCTGTCTCGACGAGCATTAGTCCGAGTACCATTACGCGTGCCATTACGGTACCGACATTGAAATATTTTCTGATGCGGTAATAGCGCGGCCATCTGTCCACCAATAGATTGATTTATAAATTTATCGTAATCAAACAATATTGGTGATTTATCGCTCACATACTCGTGAGTAGTGTTAGCACTACTCTCGTGGCTGATATTTGGGTGTAATATTCCCCTGACATTTATGCATATCGTAAGTGCCGGAAGTTTGAACTCGTCGTGCGATTCAAAGCGTATGGTTGTTGTTCTTTCGTATGAGAAGTATATGGAACTTATTTTGTACGTTTGGTATAATAAACCACACAAACATATTGTATGTAATATAAAAGATTTTATGTTTAGTTTAGGTAACATTTTGCATAAAGCAAAATACTACCAAGTGGTAAATAAAGTATAAACTACACTATACAGAATATTCACAAGTTGAATAACAATAAATGATTATACCGTATATGATTTAGAATTAGCACATAATTATTATATTATTATGTAAATGTTCATTTTTATTTTGATTGATTAATTTAATCATTGTATAACATAAACCATGTGTCATTCATTTCTGACACGTTTTAACATTAGTCCAATAGACATTTTTAGTCAAAAATTACAAAAATTTCAAAATTGTCCCTTAAATAGAAGACATTTAGAGAAAACTAATTTTTTTATTATGAAAACATAAAGTATAGTTTGTTTGTTTATATGCTTTATATATGCTTGTTTAGCAACACCAGAGTTTATTAAATTCGCATTACAGATACTTTGACAACTTTGAAATCTGCCAACATTATGATTTAATACTAGCTATGCATGTTTGCCAACATTTATAGTAAAGATCTAAGTAAACATTAATTGTGCTAAAATATACTTTAATTACTTGACTTTTAATATTGAATTGCTTTTTAGATCTTATACTTGTAAATTAAAATTATAACTTTTATGAAGGGAGTGTTTAAAAATGAATGACACACGGTTTACACTGTACAACATTTCATATTTTGACCGAATTTATAATATAATTAGAAATCAATTATTTTTTATAGAGAAATTAACATTATATTTCAACATAATGTGCTAATGAATGTTGTTTTATATAAAATATCCGATATTCTAATTTACATATTGTATAGAATATAATATGGGTTATTTTATTAATTATTTTATTTTTACACCTATTAACGACAATTCAATATAAATAATTTGCATTTTATTATTATAAACTAATAATGTAATAATTATTCTGTGTTTAATAATAAAATCAATTTTAAATATCAGTCATGTTTTTTTTTTGTATATTAAAATCAATATAACATAACAAAGAGTGATACTTATTAATCGATATGATCATGGGACAAAACAGTAGTTTTATACAAAAACAAAACATGTAAATAAATGCAAAATAAACTAATGCATCATTCTCATACGGTGGACAATATCAATTTGACCAGGCCTACCCACGGACAACATGACATTATTTATAGTAGGGCTTACTATGTTGTTAACCGTAATATTTTGTCTACTATAGTGTCTATAATAAAAACTATTAATTTTATTAAACATATTTTTGCCAAATGTGTCGACCATTAACACATTGAAGCCAAACCACAGGCTCAGACAACTGGCCAATAGGCACATGTATTCTTCGAAATACATTTTATAACTAATATCGTAAACAATTGTATCATCGGAGGGGAACTCAATAAATACACGCAACCGATTATCGCCATAAGCCTTGTTTAATGATAGGGAACTTATGGATGGCGTATAATACCTGTGCACACAATCCAGTATATGCGCGCATTCACGTTCACAAACTTTGCGATATCTATCATGATTAATTAGTTGACGTTTATCATTAGCAAATTGTAGGGTAGCGTTGCGTATATCGTAAGTCAAATAACCGTAATTATTCAAAATGATATTCATTTAAAAATGCTTTAAAAATTCAATTTCCAAAATACACTTATTAAAAGCAATATGTAAAGATTGTCTATTCTTTGTGCATCACCCAAATTGTGGTTAACGTATAGGATCGCTGTGTGATTCTTGTTGTATACAATAATCATTTACTGCCTGGTAACAATAATAGGGCAGTCTTGATTATATTGCAGTATAATTTTATTTCCAAATTATTATATAAAATTTTAAACATTAATATAATTAATACAAAATGTTATAACAATCATTATTTCAATAGTGAATTATTTGATAGTAGCAACAAAGAAAAAGAGGGCTAGATATCAAATTTAATCACAATGTAAATTCTCCCAATGATGAGGATACTTCTCTTTAATCCATTGGTTACGACTATCGGCGCAATCAAAATCACTGTCAAACACCTTATTCGACGGGTTATCGTTGAAAAACACCTCGAACTTATTTCTGACCAAGTATTTCATGGATCCTTTTTCCAGGTATATACGCGTTTTGCAGCCAATCGACTCCAACGCCTGGCTATCGAACGGGTCGTTTGGTTGCGGAAAGAAATCTATTTGTAAGTATTCATCGGTTGTGTTGTGTCCGACAGTAAGGGCGTGTGCGGACACGTGTTCAACGGGGCTATTCGTGAACGACAGTAATTCTAGCGAAGGTAAATTGTGCAGAGCGTTGGTCAATATTGAGCTTAGTGAATTATCGGCAAAATATATCTGGCGCAAAATCGGCAATCCTGATAAACTGAACGAGGGCAGCACCTTGACATGTGTCATGGTCAGTTGCAGCACTTCCAAAAATTTCAACGTGTTAATTGCGCCAAATAGGTCTGAACCGTTTGCCACCAATTCGGAGATAGGTGAATTAGAAATTAGTAGCGTGTTCACCGTGGTTGCCGTTCCATTGAACGTGGCTACGTTTATGCGGCTTAATTGTTTTGCACCATCAATGTTAATTTGTCTAGATTGTATTCCACCGAACGCGTTGGCCGGCAGTTCCTCTATAGGCGTGTTTTTTAATAAAATTTGTCGAAACGGTTTCTGATCGATGGGTAGCTTATTGTGTAAGTCGCCTAATATGGCCTTTATATCAAAACGATCGCCACCTTTGCAAACAATGTCGCAATATTGTGAGTCATCGCTGAATGAGCATGGTGCGCCAATTGGTATATCATTGGGGCATGTGATAAATTTGCCAGCAACATGGTTAAATGTAACAATTAACGCTACAATGAATGCTGTAATAAAATTAATAATGATAAAATTATTTTTAATTATCAGTTTTTAAATCAACACTATTTGTACCTTTAAAATACATTTTTAAACAAATTAAGAACTCAGTTATTAAACACTGAGTTTTATATAAAATTAATTACTTATTCAAAACTCAAATCTAAATATTTATGACATTTAATTAATACTCGCTATTCTTTTATACGTTTACTAAATTCAATGATATTATAATCAATTTTTTGAGAATTCTTTAATCAAATAATATTTGAGATTAATGTTTGTTTGTTTAATACAATTATTTTTTTTTCAACATAAATGTTACGTATTATTATTTGATTAAAAAATTAAGAAAAATATTTTTAAATGTTACCACTACAAACTTAATAATAATTTATTGTTTTGATATTATTATAGTTTTTATATGAGAATCATAGTTAAAAATTATTATTAAACTAATATTGTAAAATAAATAAAAATAAATAATTATATTCTTATTAATTTATATACGCTATAATATTTAGACATGAACATATCACATGTTATTGTGACATCTAATACTTTAATAAACTGGATTAAATGATATCAAATAAATTATTAAAAACTTGATAATGTTTACTATCAGGTAGTATAGACTTATGGAACAATTTATAAGACTTTTACTTTATAATACTAGTATTCTACAAATAAAATGCAAATATAAAGCAAATAAATTATCAAACAAAATAACATTTGTAATACAGATATTTGTAAATAGATAATTTTATTTAATTAAACATTACAAGGCATAACTTTCTTTATTATCAAGAAAATTAAGCAGTGGTTGGTGTGGGCGGGGCGGGTGTGGGCTGGAAAAAATGTGCCCGCCTTAACAACTCGGACACACGTACTTCATGGACGCGTACCTCCACCTCGTACTCGGCTATTTTGCGAGGGGTCTGCGCGTCGATCAGCTCCTGGCAGAGCATATCGAGCCGACGCTCCTCTCTGTACAACTCTTCGGCCAACTTTTCGGCCGCGGGTTTGTCTTTACCGGTCACTTTGGACAACTCCACCAGGGCCAATCCCACAAATGTTTTGAGCGTTTTGGCATTGGCCAACAGTTTGTCCTGGGTGTCGGTCTCCTTCTCAATTAATTTTTCCTGGTAATCATCATAATAGTTCATTTAATTTTAATGTAGCATGTATATTTATTCCAAATTTACAAAATTGAACAAAATAGTTAAAGATGTTACTTAACTAATTTAATAAGACTGATACAAGTTACATAATACGCAAACTAAATAAAAAACATACCTCTCGAGTGACGCGGTCCTCAACCCTTGCAATCTCTCCCTCCAAAAGCTTGAGAGCCTCGGGTCCGGGACTCGTAGTCTTGAGCTCATTGATCAGTGCTGTGATCCGAGTCTCCTCCTCCTCGAGCTCGGCGGCCAAATGACCACGGTCCTCCGAGATCAGTTTAGCAATACTATTTTTCACCCTGGTCTCCAACGCCTCGCCACGTTTGATCAACTCATCCTTGTATATGTCATTGGCCGAGCGGGTAGTCGGCGCTCCCAATGAGGCTATAATTTGTTATAATACATAAATTATATTTATTAATTTATTATATATATATTTCAATTGTTCTTGATTATAAATTACTTACAGCATACAAGAGTAGCGACTAATAAAATGATCTTCATGTTCACTGTTTGTTTATGAACTAGATACTGTAATTGTCTAAACTGTGCAACGTTAGCGCATATTTATACCCTGATAAGTTTACGGATGTTTTCAATTAGACTTCTAATTATTATCGGCAGCTGTTGTGTTAATTAAAATCTATTTACTAAGGGCACAGGTAATCGATTGTAACTACAATGAGAAAGTGTCTTAATTATTATCAGTTAAACCTTACTCCAAATTAAGAATATTATTGTGTTAGTAGACTTGAGCTATTAAGGTTTTATTAACTTTATGTTTATCAATTAAGTAAATAAAACAGTATTTTAAGTTTCAAGTTGATCAGTCTAATTGTACTTGAATTTTATGTACGTAAACAGTCTATACAGTTATCTGTTGCTATATTTAATTGGTTTAATTTAGTAAAATTAATTTATTAAGTTATAGAACACAGTTTTATTAATTTATTACACAAATATTATTATAAAATACTTACTTAATTATATTGAATGGTATTAATTTACATTATATTGCTATTATTTATTTAATAGTCTTGTTTAAATACAATTAAAACAACGTAGATACAACTGATGCATTAGCAGGTGAGTTTAAAAATAATTTATTTTTATATTTAAAATAAAAACATTACTAATTATAATATTTAAAATTAAATAATTATTGAATTTTGCAATTCTTATAAAACTTTTATTAATAATAGTTAACAAGATCATTATTACATCAATGTATAATTATAAGAGGTTGAATTATTAAAACTAATAACATCACTGTAGATCTGATTATTGATTTAGATTTTATATAATATCATTTATTATAATAAAGACTGTATATATTTTGTTCAAACGGTAAACAGAAAAATTGATTATACTATTGCCTTGGTAACTAATAATAAAATACAATAAGTAATCTAAATATATATTTACTTTATTAATACATACTGTATATTTTAACTTTAAATAAACTTGACTTAATCATTACATTTATCATCATAACATTATTCTCAATATTATTCTGCTGGCGGCGGGGAATCATCGGGTGATTTAGCGTTACAATCGGTAGAGCTCTGTTCATACCGGAGCCGAAAGCCCGGGCCGTCGCCACTAATCCTATGATCATCCGAATAAAACCTTAGGGCAATCGGACCGTTGGCTTTGGACACTACAGGGGCCGCCACTGTTGCCCCATTGGCGTAATGCAAACGATTGCCGCAATACCTGTCACGCGTTGGTAGGTTACCGTCCCGGGAACCGCCCTCAATAACTAGGTAATCGTTAGCGCACGCGCTGTCGCCAACTAATGCTTTCGCTGTGTCCGGCGCTGTATATGCTATGCCAATAAAATTGTTGTGATCTGCGCTGTAGCTGACACGGCACGTGTGCGCACCCCGTTGTACGCATATTAAATAGTCTAGATTGTTTAGATACGCGTGTTCATAGTTAAAACTTTGGATTTGTCCCCGTGGCGAGATGAAATACTAAAGATTTTTTAAATTAATTATTATTATATGTATTTAATTAAAAATGTACCTGGAGACAATTTTCAGGCGCCACCGATGGCATGGTATAAGGATATATGTCCATTTCGTATCGGCAATTGATCTGGGTGGCGGTCACGTGCCAACGGTAATCACCATCGTTGTTTGTGTCAAACAATATGCTAACTGAGCGCTCCATTGTCATCATGTTACCACGTTGAAGTTGTATGTATACTATGTTATCATAACAGTATTATTTATAAAGTAAATTAAAGTTATTAACCATGTTAGAATGCCCATCTTTAATGAATTGATAATAAACTTGATAATATTTTTTTGTACATTTAATATTATTATAGCAAATACAACTTGCCATAGAAATAAGCTAACAATAAACTTACAATGTTGATTGTCATTACGGCCACAAAGAGTGGGAACACCAATGGGTGTGCCGGCCGATGTGGTCACCCTAAATTTGTCGCCCAAACAATCACCATTTGTCGGTTGATCCAGGTCAAAGTTGGTAAAGTCCAGTCTTACTTGACACACATCCGAGTCATATATCTTTAAATTAAGTGCACATATTGTGGAAATGTTGTCCAGACCCGGGTATAACGGATTGTGAAACTCGGTCACCTGGTCACTTGACTCAATAAGGCAACCACTGTACATATCTAATAAAAT